TAATTCAATGATTATGCCTATAAAAAATGTTGGTGCACGCGTGCACATATAGGAGGTTGTAGTGTCGAGTCAATGTTGCTAATTATGCTGTAACAAAGGAGTACATCTCCTGAGCGCACACCCAAAAGCTGACGAAGGAAACACACACAAGACCGTGAGAAATCTCACCTTAAGCCGGCGTCTTGAGCGAGAGTCACGTCGTTGCTCATGAATATAACACTGAAGAGATGCAGACCCGCCTCATCACTCGTCGCCAAATTTGTAGTGTCGAGTCAATGTTGCTAATTATGCTGTAACAAAGGAGTCCGCTTATACTGAGCTTTGATCATAAGTTTTATTCATATCATAAGATTTCAGCATAAGTTTACAGATGTATATAGCATCCAGAGAGCAGTGTCCCAAAATAATATGTCTGCTCTAATGTTCTTTGTTCAAACCCAGTACTTATAATATTCCCCAAAATATGGGTGGCTCCCTCTACTGTCCAATCCCCTGTCTACAACACACACTCCCTGTCTGTTCTATGGGGCGTCACCCTAAAACAACTCCCTCTGAAACTAAATAAACATCCTCTCAGGTTCCACTTGAAAACATTAGCAAAGGCATAATCTTAATACACTACAAGGTCCCTTACCAGGCAGAAGGGAATTTAACTTTAACCCCTGCATCGGAGAGTTACAATGTTGCTATCACTTTGCAGCCAACTGTTATCCCACATGGCACGATCCCATAATTGTTACAATTACAATAGAAATAACTATAAATAATTATATTTAACATATATTTTAATATTCCTGTAGAACTGTAAAAAAAGAGTGAGATCATTTGAGCTTTAGAAACAAGTGCTTTCATAAATCCATGGCAGGCCTCGTTTCGCTGGAGCAGTGTAAAATAATATTTATGTCAATGACCCAGCCTTGACGAATTTCGTTTATTTACATAGCGAATTTGATTGTCCAACATCAGTTTCAGCATTTATTTATTTAGTCTCCGCCTAGAGTGGCCTCTTTCCTCTGCAGTCAGCGATGTTTTCTCTACGTAGCTGTCCATGGTCCTGAAATCAAATCATCTGAGAGAGACAGCAAGAGTGGAGAGAGAGAGGGGAAGATAGGGGGAGAGAGAGAGATAAAGAGAGTGAGAGAGCGAGATTAGGATGTAGTCTATTTAAATAAATAAAAAATACAAAGTAAACAGGTGATAGATAATTGACTAATCTTACAAATTAATGCGAGTGTATGATCAACGCTTACCTTTTATTCAGAGACAAGTTGACTCGCCTGGCCTTCCTGGCAGCAAAAGCATGCACTGCTTGTTGGGGGTATGATGTGTAATCCCGCGGGGTTTTGAAAAGCATAAATAGGGGTTATTGTCTCATCTCTCTCTTTCTATTCGGGATCCTGATCTGCTCCTATGAGTCTGCCACTTAACTTGACATTGTGTATATGTGTACGTTCGGAATTTAGCGGCGTGGGCTGTGGCCTGAACAATAGTCCAGTTTAGGAATAAACCTGTGTTCTGCCCTGTACACCTGGTGTCCGTCTCTTCTTCCTTTATGACCCAGCCGGGTCATTACAGTACTTTGAATTTCTGCTGAGGGTCAGTCACAGGCTCATCCTCACCCTCGTAGCCAAACAGACTCCTCTTCTTCCTGGGACGGAGCGTGGGCTGCACTGGGAAACAGGGCTCAATACCCATCTCCTCTGCCAACTATTTTGCGCTTGCTAAAGCGCCAGCGAAAGCTGCATTGGAGCGGCAGTCTTGGAGTAATACCCTGGTTGAGTTCAGTTGAGCCACTGCTAGTGAAATGTTAAAACACACCGCCTGCAAACTCTTACTGGTGATGTTCCCTTCGAACAAGATGTCATGCCAAACGACCACTGCGCACATGAAGCCAAAGTTGTTCATCTTGGCGGCAATACTGTTTGTCTCCAACATTTGTATAAATGTATAAATCTCTTGGATGGTGTTAAAAAACTCAGCTGCCTCCAAGCAACACGATGCTGCATCAGAGAGAACCAGGTTCAACGAGTGCGCGCTGCATGGCACAAAAAAAGGCCCTCGGATTGACATCCTGCACTCTCTTTTGAACTCCGCTGTGCCTCCCCCGCATATTCGCCCCGTTGTCATACCCCTGCCCTCTCATGTCCATGATGGCGATGCCACGTTTCTGTAGTTTTGAGATGAGCAACTCGGTCATGCCCGCACCCATTGCGTCAAGCAGTTCACTAAACTCCAGGAAGTGCTCTCTCGTGCGCACTGACCCATCATCCTCGGTTGAAACAAAACGCGCCGCCATGGTCATCTGCTCTGTTTTGCTCTTGTCTGGTGTGCAGTCCAAAATTATAGAAAAATATTTGGCTGCTTTTAGATCACTGCACACTGTCTGCTGGATCTCTTGTGCCAGCATGTCAATGATTTCGTTCTGGATTATTTTACCGAGGTAGTGCACATGTGTTTCTTTGGACTGTACTCTCCTTACATGCTCCTTCATGACTCCATCAAAGATACCCAGCATTTACACAAACTTGAGAAAGTTCCTATTATTTGGCTCGTTCAGCCTATCGGTGGTCCCACGTAACGCAATGTTCTGGGTGGCCATTACGCGTATCAGGGCTATGAGCCTCTGCATTCATTCTCCACACCGGCTGATGGACATTGCTGCACGCTGATACATTTCAGCAGCGAATTTCTTTGGTGCCTCTTTTCTCATTCGTTTTTTTAAATATTCGCTTCCTGATCGTTTTTGTCTCTTAGACATGGTTGCAAATTGTTTCAAATCTATATAGCTTACTTTTAGCTAAAATTATATCCACTAGTAGTAGCTAGCTAACATTAACAGGCTAGGTTAGGCTATTGCCTTAATCACTAATCGGCTTCATCATAAACAAAACAATCATTTAACTGGCAGATTCCTTTTTATTAATGTTTCACAATTGGATAATCCCATATAAACACACACATCACCATAGCTACCAAGATAGTGGGAGTGAATTTCGGGAGGAACAGGAATGGGGTGAGGGCGGGAACTGCAGCAACGCCATGAGCTGGTGGCTAGGGTGCGGTCGGCGGTGTAGCAGCCGAACAGGGACGCCGGAGGGCGGCAGCCAATTGTCAAAATGCTGCCCCAAATTCAAGTGCCGCTAGCCAGAGATTGAACCTTTTGTAGCGTTTTTGATGTGGCACTGCAACATTCACGTAGGCGAGCAAGGTCGATGACGCGAAAGAGTAAGAATGGCGCTGCTAAGATCAGAGAATCGTCTCCTGTGTATACACCTTCGTTCGAGGAGTACATACAGTGCGTTCGGAAAGTATTCAGACCCCTTGACTTTTTCCACATTTTGTTACGTTACAACATTATTCTAAAATGGATTAAATTGGTTTTTTTCCCCCTTCATCAATCTACAAACAATACCCCATAATGACCAAGCAAAAACACGTTTTTAGAAATGTTTGCAATTTTATAAAATACAAAAAATGGAAATATCACATTTACATAAGTATTCTTACCCTTTACTCAGTACATTGTAGAAGCACCTTTTGCCTTGATTCTTCTTGGGTATGATGCTACAAGCTTGGCACATCTGTATTTGGGGAGTTTCTCCCATTCTTCTCTGCAGATCATAATAATAATAATAATAATAATAATAATAATATGCCATTTAGCAGACACTTTTATTCAAAGCGACTTACAGTCATGCGTGCATACATTTTTTTGTGTATGGGTGGTCCCGGGGATCGAACCCACTACCTTGGCGTCACAAGCGCCGTGCTCTACCAGCTGAGCTACAGAGGACCACGTTGTGTCGAGGGGTCTGAATACTTTCCGAATGCACTGAACAAAAATATAAATACAACATGCAACAATTTCAAAGATTTGACTGAGTTACAGTTCATATAAAGAAATCAGTCAATTGAAATCAATTCATTAGGCCCTAATCTATGGATTTAACATGACCGGGAAAACAGATATGCATCTGTTGGTCACAGATACGTTAACAAAAAGGTAGGGGGGTGGATCAGAAAACCAGTCAGTATCTGGTGTGACCACCCTTTGCCTAATGCAGCACGACACATCTCCTTAACATATACTTTTTATTTTATTTTATTTTTTTTGGGGGGGGGGAATGGATCAGCTTAATATTGCAGATAGATTGTATCTTCTATCAATGTAATTGTCTGCATCACTTCCAATCCCCCATGTTTTTTTTATTATTTTTTATATTTTTATATATATACTCCCCTTCATTACTTTTCAACCCCACCATCCTTTCCCTACTTGGAGTAAATTAGTGAACAACAATGCCCCGGCCCCGGTCTATACTTACTATCTACACCTTATGGACAGAGTTACTTTTACAATAATTATATTATATATATATATATATATATATATATTTTTTTTTTGCTCCTGAACTTCTGCTACTCTCAACCTCTCCGATCATTTTCATGATGTCCATCCGGTTTGCTTCTATATGCCATATCTTTCTAACTGTGCTCTTTCCCAAAAGCTCCCAACATACAACCTATATACTTATTATGGACACAGTATGCTTTACATTATTAGCTATCTTTGTTATTATTTGTTGTTATTTGTTATTAGTCCCCAACAACTAATGGATGATCAGTGATTCAACTTAACAGACAGGACAGGCTAAGATGGTTTAACAATGTAAATGATTGCTGAATGAGTGTGGTATGATTAGAGGCATGAAGGAAGTGTAGTCATTCAGGTCTGACTGGAGTCTTTACTTAGATTGTGATTTTAGTTAGGTGCTGTGGGTGAGGAGGGGGGTGGGTGAAGGACAGAGGAGGACCACAATGACAGATTAAACTCAGGTTAATATTAACAATATTAACAATAATAACAGGTTAATAACGCTCTGATATAAACCAAGGGCCTACTCACTTTACCAAGATATCTGACTATTGGGGAGTATAGGAGTCTGTGTTTGAATCCCATCTTGTCCAGATGTTCATTTAACGTGTGTGTTTATTCTCTTGCAGACATCCATGTAACCTGTCTGTTCTCAGAGGATTGTGTCCTGGCCTGCAGCTTCCAGCCTGGAAGTGATGAAGTCATCTACTGGCTGAAACCAGAAGACAAGGACCTGACCGTCCACTCCTACTACTACAGTACAGATCAGCTCAAACAGCAGAGCCAGCGTTACAGAGGGAGAACAGCCCTGTTCAATGACCAGATCCCCAAAGGAAACGCTTCACTACTGCTGAGAGGACTCACACTCCAGGACCAGGGCAGATACAAGTGTTACACCAGCACTATTAAAGGCAACAAGGAGTCCTTCATTAACATAGCAGTGGAGGGTACGGAATGTCTGTCTGTCTGTCTGTCTGTCTGTCTGTCTGTCTGTCTGTCTGTCTGTCTGTCTGTCTGTCTGTCTGTCTGTCTGTCTGTCTGTCTGTCTGTCTGTCTGTCTGTCTGTCTGTCTGTCTGTCTGTCTGTCTGTCTGTCTGTGATGATCACTTTATGGCTGCTCCATGTGTAATGTCTACTTTGTTGCAGCTCCAGTCCGCTTGGTGGACATACAGTTATCAGATGACATCATCACCTGCAGTTCTACAGGTATCTATCCTGAGCCTAAACTCACCTGGTCCACTGACCCCCCCTCTGACCTTTCATTTGACCCTGGAACCATCCAGAACTCCACCAGCACCAAGGTGGATGAAGGGGGCCTCTATGACATCACCAGCACAAAACAGTTTATCAGAAACCGAACCAACATCTGTACCGTGACCTCTGGGACAGTAGAAAGGACAGCAACCCTGAAACAGCAAGGTAATCAATTGATCAACCTATTAATCAAACAATTTATAAATCAATCAATCAATTTTTCTGGCTATAAACTCTACAAAAACAAGACAACAATGCGAGACAGTATGCAAAGATCAAGCTAAAAAGGCGCTTTCTTATGACATAATTTCAGATCCGGTCCAGGGTTCTCCAAGAGGTGAAGTGTCCATCCCCTGCAGTGTCTCTCAGTCTGACCTTCTGACCTTTAACCTCACCTGGAGGTTCAACCAGATAGACACCATCCTCACCTCCACCTACACCAAGGGCACATCTCAGATGTACGGTAACGACCAGTGGAAGGAGCAGGTTCAGAGTTTGTCTGACTCTGGCAGCCTTCAGCTCCACAAGCTAACCGTGGTCCACCAGGGAATCTACAGCTGTGAACTCTCTACTGCCAGAGACACACACCTGGTCCTCACCCACCTGGAGATCACACCTGATAAACCATCTGATGGTACAAAGTTTACTTTTCCTATTTCCCCTCACTGTAAGTCACACTCTACCCACATGTACATATTACCTCAACTACCTCAACTAGCCGGTGCCCCCGCACATTGACTGTGCAACGGTACCCCCCTGTATATATAGCCTCCCTACTGTCACTTTATTTTACTGTATATATAGCCTCCCTACTGTCACTTTATTTTTACTTCTGCTCTTTTTTTCTCAACACTTTTTTGTTGTTGTTTTATTCTTATTTTTTTTTTTTTTTTATAAATGCACTGTTGGTTAAGGGCTGTAAGTAAGCATTTCACTGTAATGTCTGCACCTGTTGTATTCGGCGCATGTGACCAATAAAATTTGATTTGATTTGATCACATTCAACAATAAAACTGCAACTCTGTATTTTCTCCTTCAGTTTCAGATGGACTGAGTCCAGGTTCAATCACTGGTATAACAATAGCAGCAGTAGCAGCAGTGATTATAGCAGCAGTGATATGTTACCTGCTGAGAGGTAAGTTATGATGATGATGACATCATAATCTGTTGAAACATTTAACACAACCACCTCCTGATGGACAGAGAGGAGGGTTACATTGGTGGCTTTTGATGAACAGCTTTCAGATTCTGCTATTTTGCTGTCTCCCATCTCAAGGTTTTCTGCCCAAATTTAGACGTAACACGGACATCTGAAGAGTGAGTCACTCTCTGCCACAGGTTGACGTCCATGGAATATTAATGTCCTTATGGTTACATGCATTTACTCATACTAACTGTTTGTGTGTCTGAATCCTGCTAACTCACCCTAAACTCACCTATCCCCCTCTATCTTGTTAAATGTGATCAGGTATGTTGGCTGCGCCCACTAATTGGCCTCACCTGATCTTAATGATTGCTTGTTGCCTTTGAAATAGGGTTTGTTTGAATAGACAAAAATGTACAGCTTTGTATGAGTTAATAGAAATATGGCATGGTAGCTCCATCCTGGAGGCTCAGTGGACTAATTCCAGAGCAGAAGATCATAGGTTTGAATCTGACTGACACCACACCACAATAAAAAATGAATGTGTTTGCATGATTAACACCTAAGCAAATTAATTTCCATTTGTCCTATCTGTGCTTGGAGTTCACACTGAACACATATACAAGCACATCTCTTCTTCTTTACAAAAACAACAGTGTGTCAGTTGTAAATAAAAGCACACAAGTAAATATGAACATATGTCAGAAACAATCAAGTGAGTCCAAATTGTCTTTAGCAAGCACACAAAATAACACACAATCTAGGGAAAAGTAAACAGTCTAGTTAGCTAACTGATCGTCACACATATTGAACCCAGGCCGTCAAACCCAGAGTGACTGAGCCTCATTGGAAACACAACAAGTGGTTTTGACTGGCTGTAGAATGGCCTTTATACAGTAGGATTGGGTGTAGTGTGTGTGTGTGTGTGTGTGTGTGTGTGTGTGTGTGTGTGCATATCACATAGTGTGTGTGTGTGTGTGTGTGTGTGTGTATCAGATGTAATGTGTGTTTTCCTCCAGCACTAAACCAATAGGTGATATATAACACCATGATTAATGTAATGAAGTCAACCAGCCTCTGAATAAAGGAGGGGAGGAAGACAGAAGCACACAAGTAGCAGAGGGTGATGCAATGACAGAACATGGAGGACAGTTACAGTACGGGGCCATTCACACACCGCTGGACCAAACTCCCCAAAGAAGACATCCATTGTGGGTGTGACGTCCCAGCGTCTAAGATAGATCCAATGGAGATGACTGGGCAGGAAGTGTATCAGAGTTCTATAGGAATTGGTAATGGTCTGAGTTAGGAGGGCCAGCAGACAAGGATTCACACACACACCTTGCGTAAGTACGTGTTAGTGGGACTAGGTCCCCATCTACTGGCATTCATGTGTATTACACCTTTTAAAAATGTTGTTTGGATCCTGGATGCGGATTCGACAAGCAGCGTTGTGTGCTGTATGCTCGTACTATATTCTGCACAATGCAATAAGATAGGGAGGAGTTTGTATCCACGACGATAACCCTGGTGTCTGGTCTCCGTGGAGATGGCCAGAGTTCAGGTTTTCATTACATTAAGGGATCTGGTGTTGGTAGTGATTCTGCTATGGACTGCCACACCCACAGATGGGGGAGGTGAGCAACAACCATCGTTACAGTCGGTCTTAGTTGACCTGTCTTTACCTTCTTTCTGTCTCGGTCTGTCTCTGTCTCTGTCTGTCTCAAAAAACTAAATTCCAAAATGATCGCTAGCCACTGGTGTAACAGTTTCTCTGGGCCCAACCAAGTAAACTACCGGTCGCTGTCCATAGTGATGAAATTGCAACATGTCTATGCGGCTGCATGCCTATAGAATCGATGATAGGCTTTCTAAAGGTGCCAGGACATGGCTTTGCTTTAGCTAGTGGATAAATGTTTATTGGTAGGCTATTTGGTCATCACTTTCTCAGGTTAGGCCTAACATTTCACGAAGCTATAGGGCCTACATGGTGTCTCAATGCTGCCATTTCTAGGCTGCTGGCTGGTGGCAATAGTGTAATTACACTGGAAGAAATGTACTGTAAATTATACAGGAAATGACTGGCAATTAAGTTGCCAACAAAGTACTGTGAATTGATAGCATTTTACTGGCAACTTAACTGCCAGTAAATTACTCTAAATGAGGAACCAGTAACTTACTATAATATATATTTACAGTACTGTAAATGAACAACAGTAACTTACTGTAAATCAACATTACAGTACTTTATTAGAAACGTAATTGCCAGGAAATTACTGTAATTTCCTTTCCCTTTTCCCTTTCCCTTATTGTAAATATATATCATTGTACTGTAAATCAGATTCCAGAACCCAAATGTAAATATACATTTTGTTCCAGCACCTTATTGGCAACTTAATTTCCAGTAAATGAATGTAAATTGCTATTACAGTGTTGTAAATGAGAATCCAATAACATGTTGTAAGGTGAGTAAAATACATAATATAAATGTCAATTGCTGTAACCATTCAAATGAAACAAGTTTGTATTCAGCAATAGAATAGAAGACAAGAAACTTAAGTACAGTTAAGTTCAGTTTAATTGAACAGCAACGGCAGGTTTCCACTTTAATGTACTACATGTACAATAACAAACTGTAGTGCAATATGTCTCCGCTATCCCAGTGACAATTAAATGCCCACTTAGAGGTAGATTGGGGTAAACGGGCCGTAAGCGCCAGCCCCCAATTCAACTTTTTAAAAGAAAACTAAACTAAAAATAACCCTAACCTTGTCAATGTTCTTGCCTAACCTTAATGCACGTTAACATCATTCACTGAAGAAGGCTCTATGCTGAAACGTTTGAAGCTGTATGGCCTCATCTTACTCAAAAACACTGAGTTGAGGGTCACCTTGTATAGCAAACTAAACCATCTCATCTAAAATGCACACTTTTCTGCATTGAATCCACAAGCCGTCTCTATTGCCTACATTAGGCAAAAGCAATCAATTGGTTCTCTGACTAGTTTACTTCCTGTGATAAAGTTTAAAAATGACTAGAACTATTCAAAACAGAGGTCATAATGATGTCATTAAACCAATAGAGTCATTCCAATAATAATTAGATGACAATGAAACAATTTAGCTGAAATCTAACATGGTCAAAAGCTTCAGGGAGGAATGCAGTTGTAAAAATATAGTTTGCATGTTTGTAAATGTGTAAAACAAAACATTGCAATCAACTATCCAAGCAGCTAATGGCTCAAATCTCTCTGGTGTAATCAATTAGTCAAGATAGGAACAAAATAATGCCTCTTAACACGAGACAACTGGCATGATCAGGGATCATGAACAATTTCTTGAAAAATACAAGTATATCCAGATTATAGACAGACATGTCTTCTTTGCCTTACAAATACTATCTTATTTAAACTTGATTGCTAGAACGGGCTGCTTGTATTGCTTGTGTGATGAGAGAAAAGTGAGAGACAAACACAGTCTGAACTTGAGCCCTTGTAAGAGGCAAGAGAAATGACTAAACTTAATCTGGTTTTTCATCCTCAACTTTCTGTAGCTTTTTCCAGCCAGCCTTCTTAGCCTGCAGCAGGCTGTTTACCCCTTGGCCAACGTGAGCAGTATGCTCCTACAGGCTTGCAACAAAAACAATAAACACAACTGACAAAACTGTGACCACTCACTGAACTAAAGGTTCCACTCAAAGTCTCTCAACTTCTGAAGAAGAGTGGAGACATGAGGGTTCACAGAGACTGGTTTATTCTGGACCAATCTCCCAGTCTTCTTGGAAACCTTCCCCTTGCTGGCCTTTGTACTAGTGGATTTTCATAAAATTGACCTATGGAATGAATGGAATGGTATCAAACACATGTTTCATACCATTCTATTCCAGCCATTATACTCCATTCCAGCCATTATTAGGAGCCATCCTCCCCTCAGCAGCCTCCACAAAGAAGACATCCATTGTGGGTGTGACGTCCCAGCGTCTAAGATAGATCCAATGGAGATGACTGGGCAGGAAGTGTATCAGAGTTCTATAGGAATTGGTAATGGTCTGAGTTAGGAGGGCCAGCAGACAAGGATTCACACACACACCTTGCGTAAGTACGTGTTAGTGGGACTACGTCCCCATCTACTGGCATTCATGTGTATTACACCTTAAAAAACTTGTTGTTTGGATCCTGGATGCGGATTCGACAAGCAGCGTTGCGTGCTGTATGCTCGTACTATATTCTGCACAATGCAATAAGATAGGGAGGAGTTTGTATCCACGACGATAACCCTGTTGTCTGGTCTCCGTGGAGATGGCCAGAGTTCAGGTTTTCATTACATTAAGGGATCTGGTGTTGGTAGTGATTCTGCTATGGACTGCCACACCCACAGATGGGGGAGGTGAGCAACAACCATCATTACAGTCGGTCTTAGTTGACCTGTCTTTACCTTCTTTCTGTCTCGGTCTGTCTCTGTCTCTGTCTCTGTCTCTGTCTGTCTCAAAAAACTAAATTCCAAAATGATCGCTAGCCACTGGTGTAACAGTTTCTCTGGGCCCAACCAAGTAAACTACAGGTCGCTGTCCATAGTGCTGAAATTGCAACATGTCTATGCGGCTGCATGCCTATCGAATCGATGATAGGCTTTCTAAAGGTGCCAGGACATGGCTTTGCTTTAACTAGTGGATAAATGTTTATTGGTAGGCTATTTGGTCATCACTTTCACAGGTTAGGCCTAACATTTCATGAAGCTATAGGGCCTACATGGTGTCTCAATGCTGCCATTTCTAGGCTGCTGGCTGGTGGCAATAGTGTAATTACACTGGAAGAAATTTACTGTAAATTATACAGGAAATGACTGGCAATTAAGTTGCCAACAAAGTACTGTGAATTGATAGCATTTTACTTGCAACTTAATTGCCAGTACATTACTCTAAATGAGGCACCAGTAACTTACTATAATATATATTTACAGTACTGTAAATGAACAACAGTAACTTACTGTAAATCACCATTACAGTACTTTATTAGAAACGTAATTGGCAGGAAATTACTGTAATTTCCTTTCCCTTTTCCCCTTCCCTTATTGTAAATATCTATCATACTACTGGAACAAAATAATGCCTCTTAACACTAGACAACTGGCATGATCAGGGATCATGAACAATTTCTTGAAAAATACAAGTAAATCCAGATTATAGACAGACATGTCTTCTTTGCCTTACAAATATTATCTTATTTAAACTTGATTGCTAGAACGGGCTGCTTGTATTGCTTCTGTGATGAGAGAAAAGTGAGAGACAAACACAGTCTGAACTTGAGCCCTTGTAAGAG